TACTGCTGCTTCTGCCAATGCTGTTGTGTCAGCTCCGCTCAAGTGGCCACAACCTCATGGCTGGACTTCCTGGAAGCTGACCCTAGTGTCCAGTTGCTTCCTTCCTCCACCAGCCTTTCCCGATACATACATATTAGGTGCAGGGCTGTGGCTGCTCTGGGAAAGGCTCCTTGGATGGTGGGCAGGGGAAGCCCCATTCTTCTCACTCCATTCACCCTCCACCCCTCAGTATGTTGCTGGGTGTGGCATTGCCATGCACAGCTCCTATGGTCAGGCAGGGGCAGCACAGGGCTACCCCAGCCTTGGCAAAGACTTCGGGGGGGGGTGTCCATTTTGGCACTCTTCCTAGTCAGTGCCTGGGGCTGGTGCGCTATTCACCGTACCCTAATTACACTACTTCGCAGTTGAGAACCACTGAACTATTTCTTTAATTATACCTGCTACAGCCCCGTTGAAGGCAAGAGCACTTTGGGTAGGTGTATACAGGAGTCTAATTAGAGTCTAAGTCAGATGTAATGGATTAGCACAGGAGTAACTAAGAGCAAACCCCTGCTTACACAATCTTCTTTATGGGGGAACAGCACAAATTAGAAGGAACTCAGTTTAAGCCCATGGTTGCAGAACTAGTAGTTCCAGAGAGAAGGTGTCTTCTAATATATCAATTAAGCATGTATCATCTAGAAGCTTGTGAGGAATAATAGATGTGGAACTTCACAATGCCAATTTACAGTTCTTGGTTACCATTTGATTCATACAAATGTGTCAGAAAAGACAGGCCCGTCTGTTAAGGCCAGAGTGTAGAGAAGTTCATTGCAGTGTTTCCCTTGAGCACAGAGGGTACTTGCAAATGTGCCTCTTTTGACAGACCTGCCATTCCTATTCTTGAAATTCATTTCAGCAGTCTTAATACAGGCCAAACTCAAACTTAACTCATAGGCACTGCTGAATAGTAATAATGGGCCATTAATTAAAAGACAAGGAAAACCTCACTTTTTGATTCTTGATCTCAGAGACTGACAGTTGTGTAGCTACTGACTTCTACTGACTTCCTGACCTGTAGCCAGTTTTTGTCTTACCCATCATGTTCTCCCGCTGGGAATAAGGAATGATCATTAAAAAAGCTTAAGAACTAAAATAGGAACTACCAGGTAAACAGAATTTGACAGAGGACAGCAATGCAGGCAAAGGACCAAAATCTGATCTCCTCAACATCACTGATAAAACTTTCTAGTGAATTCAGGGGAACTGTGTGTCTTTACAGTACAAATGGAGGCTAGATGGAAAGGATTACCAAATGTTACAACAAACACTGAGGGTATGTACAGAAGTGTTCTATACATGTTTTACAGCACTGTAATTTAGAACACTTTTTATGGCATGATAAAGTTACAGTGCTCCTAAACATGACAGAAGTGCAGTGTTTGGTGGGGGAGGCCTCTGAGCCTCCCTGCACTTTCCAGGAGGCATGGGGCACTCTGCAGCCTCCTGGGGCTTCTCCACTGGTCAGAAATTTGACTACTTAGGCTGTGTGTAGACCAAACAAAGGACATGAGTGCACAACACTTTAAAGTGGGCTAAATGCTTTTGCACCAGTTTAATGGTGTCGGTGTTTGCATGCCTCAGTGGCATATTGTGCATTAATTCCAGGCACTCCAGCAAATTCAGCAGTGTAACGTGCCTTAAATGACTTGGGGTGCAGCAAACTAAAACTCCTCCGAGGAGTTTTAGTTTGCTGCCCTACCAGGCACAGAGCAAAGCTCTGTGCAGCTCCACAGCTCTGCAAGAAGCCCTGCAGGCTGCCTGACAGCAGCCTGGGAAAGCAAGCTCCACCCAAGAAAGATAAAAAAACCAAACAAACCCAGAAAGCCTGATCTCCCCCTCCCAGAGCTTGCCTGCCTGAGCTGTGCAGGGGCCTGGTGCTTCCCTCCACTGCTGCGGTGCCCCCCTGGGACCTCCTGATCCAGATGCCTGCGGGTGGGTGCTGTGTGGAGGGGGGGAGGCATGTGCCACTGCCATGGAGGGAAGCATCAGCCCCCCTCGCAGCCCAGGGACCGCTCTGCCCACAGGCAGCTCGCCCTCCCTTTCCTGCCGCCGGAGAAGCAGGTAAGTGGGTGTGTGCACGACACGGGGTTTTAAAGGGCCCTAAATTGAAGCAGGGTTTTTAAAAACCCACACCACTTCAATTTAGGGCCTCCATTTTGTCTATACACGCCCATATGGAAGTTATTTAAAGTGCTGTAGGTTGCTAAAGTGCCACAAAATACAGCACTTCAAATTTAATACCTCATTTTTAAAGTCTACCCATTTTTAAAGTGCTGTAAAGCCATGCACTTCTGTTAAGTCCCAGCAATAAAGCGCTTCAAATGGCAAAAAAGCAACTTCTGTACACATCCTGAGTTGTGAGAATGTATGCAAGGAAAGCAGTAACATTTGACAAGGAACAACATAGGCACTGTGTAACCAGTGACACCAGCAACCAGAAGGAAGCCTAAATGTTCATTTTTAAAGTGTCAACAGATTAACAACAACCTGGGAAAATTCTAATAATCATTATCAAACTATGACCCCAGCTTTTAATCACTTCTAATAGGGTTGCATATGTTAATATGGGCTGGAAATCAGCCCACAGCACATTTTGGTTTGAGGGAAGAAATAGCCTTGTTGAGTCCCAGTGATCCTTTCATCAAGAAGAAAGAGGAAGCATAATCCCTGGAGGAAAAACTTATACTTTAAATCAGTATACCCTAACTGTTACTTGTTGATTTCCTGCTATTTTGGGACATTTCTCTGTGATTCCATTCTTATTTCTCTGGAGAACAATCTAAAACCCAGAGCAAAGAGAGACTAGTAGCAACAAATGATAACAAAGGAATAAATGACACTTTAGATGGAAAGGTTTCCCTTTATAATGAAAATGTATTATCACAAGATGTCTTGCTGGGAAGGCAGGATTTAACTTACACTTTAGTCAACTGGCATGAAAAAAGGAGCAAGGATATTTCTCCAGGGTCACATTGATCTGTCAGTCACTGATGTAAAATGTGGTTGTTCGTGTTTGTGAATGTGTGTTTGGGTGAATGACCAAAAGAGATCAATGAGTGGACTTAAAGAAGCTTCCTTTTTTTGGCACAAATGAAAAGAACAGACTGGTTTACTGGACTAGTGGGAAGGTACCATGTGCCTTTCTCCATTCAGTGCAGTCTGCCATAAAATAGCAATTGCCATTCCTTCTCCCTCTTCTCATCTCTTTTCCTGTCCCAGCGACATCAAGGAAATGGAACGAGAAGTCTGTGGTAAGCCCCTAGAATTTCAGTATAAGACAAGGAAGTGATCAATTCAATTAGAGTTGACAAGGGGGATTAGAAGGGTTGGGAAGTCTTGGGGCCTTCTCCAATTTGACCTTTCTTAGTGAGGGGTTTATTTTACGCAGGAGCGGTGACCTTGTGTTTTTAGTTTGGGTTCCAGAAGATGAATCAAAGGTTTATTAATGCTTGTACTTATGGTGCAAGCTCAAGTGATGTCCATTTAAGCAATGAGGAAGTGGGTTGAGACTTAGAGTCTACTAAGTATTCACTTGCGAGTATATGCTGTCTTTAATCACCTACAGCTCATTATACCAAAAAGATTAATAAGAAAGTGTCCAGTTGTTCAGACCATTGTAATTTCATAGCTCCTAAAACACCTCTGTCATGGCCTGATTCTGCTCTCATTCATCTCAGTGCAAATCAAGAGTGCATCTATTGCAGGAAACAGAAGTACACCTGGGTAATTCTAAAATACCCTGGGGTTAAGCATGCACCGTGTTTATTAGTACACAAAGCACTTACTTATAATCAGGGATCCTAGTTTTCTGTGGTTAAAATTGGAAAATCTCCATTTAAAAACATAAAAATCCACATTTTTCATGACCTACCAAAAGCGCAGCAATGTCCTGCACCAAGCATTGCCATTTCTGCTCCCTCTTATTTTTCCCTCAGTTTTTGCCTCTGGGCCAATCAGTGGCATGCACAACCCCCAGCTGCTGATTGTCCAAGACACAAAAGCCACGGCGAGACACTGCTGTGCTTTCAGTAAGTCATGGAAAAATGCAGATTCCTCAGTGAACAGAAAACCAGGATTCCTGCTTATAATGTTCATTCAGCGTTGCTATAGTTCATCTTATAAAGAAATATTTCAGGAAAATGTTTGCTGCCATATTAGGCAACTCTGAAATATAGAGCCTAAATCCCCCAAGAACATCTTTTTTAATTCATTCTCACACGTCAATGTATAGTTTAAAGGAACTTTAGTGCATTAGAATGATAATCCACCCAGATGGAAAAAAATATATATGGGTGTTTTGTTGCATGATTATTAAAATACATTCACATACTCCATATTTTATATTATGTGCATGTCATAGTTAATGCACTTAAAATATTAGAAATGTAGGACTTTTCCCATTTTTATAATGTACAGAATGACACAATATGCTCTGTCATGAGAAATGGCCTGTCTTGTAATGTTTTAAACACAATCTATATTAAGTAATATATTTTAAATATATGGGAGCAGTAAATTTTAATCAAATAGATAACATACAGGCATAAAACTTTATTAGCCTGTAAAAAGGATTGTCCAGCACAGAAACAGAGGGAGATGGAAAGAATGATGCCAAACCTCAGGCTAAGAGTTGCAGAGTTTGAATGGATTTGATGTGTCAGCTAACCAGACTTTGCAAAGAATCCCCAACCCTTCTCATCAAACAGAAAGAAATAACAAATCATTATCAAACTTCAGTCAGAAAATTGCCTTTGGTAAGAATCAAATTCCACAAAATGGATAAAGGACACTTTTTTGTGTGTACGTAGAGTATCTGCCTATGGTTAATCACACCACATGTTTGTATTCTATTAAAAATCTCACAGTCCAGTCTCCAGCCTAACTTTCTGTTACAATACAGTGTTCTAAATGGCAACTTCTGCCTAACCCTGTGGTAAAAATACATTTCTCTTGCCTACCTTCATGCCAGTGTCCCCCTTTTCACCCTGTACAAGGAGAACAGACAGAGAAGAAACAAAGACATAGATATTGAACAAAAAGAGAAATCCAGGAAAAGAGTACAATTTCAATAGTAAAAACAAACTGGAAGGAATTGAAAAAGGTCAGCTCTTGACAAATGATAACAGTAACTGCACAAAATTGGCTCCAGGATAAAAAGAAATCTGCAGAAACTTCTGTGAACTAATGCTGAACAATGTGTTTGGCAGAAATGGGTATAGGAGAACATTTTATACAGACTAGGTTGATCTATCTACAATTATCAGTATTCACAGGAAGCATCAACTGGCATTTTCAAATAAGTACCTGAACCCAGCTAATTTTCAAAGGAAGCTGAGGCCTTTTTGAAAATCCTAGTTATTGTCACTTGAACTCCAAACCGCTCTATATTCCAAAGCCAGAAGTTATGCAAAGGAACAGTTCCATTAAGCCTTCTATATCTGCCTTGTTTCAGGAAAAGAGCAAGATCTAAACATGCATTGTGATGGCTACAAGTGACTGAGCAGATTAGAGCTTGGCTCTGGTTTCAGAGAGAAAAGAATAATAATTCTTGCTGTGCATTAATTAGCTGACAGTTGTCCAGGTCCTTCTATAAAAATAAGTCTTCAACCTGTACATTATGTACACAGAGTTTCAAAAGGATCTGTTGAGGGTATCAAGACATTCCTACAACGTTCCTTATCAAAGTATCAGAATGTACCACATGCCATGAATAGTATAAAAGGGGCACGTGATCTAGCTGCATTAGAAGATGGAGGTACTGACTAGCTCAAATGGTTCGCTTCATGGTTACCTTGGGGCCAACAGGTCCGGGAAGGCCAGGTGCACCTGGTAGGCCTGCCTCGCCTACCTCACCCTAAGGAAGAGGAGCAAAGAAATGGAGGAAGAAGCAAACACAGTTAGCAGGCAGAAAAGGGCCTTCTGAATACCCAGAAATGTTAACAGACATGTATTGGAAAGTAGCACAGGACTAAGTCCTAGAACGCTATAGTCCCATAGTGCTGTTCAGCAACAGGAAAAGAGAGACAGAGCACTGCAATACTCTGGAGAGAGAGTGCAAAAAAGAGAGAGGTGACCCCATATACCTGAGGTTAGCTGCTCTGCATATGTTTCCCACTCCTTTGTACAATATGTTTTATCCACAGTTAGAGTGATCATATGTCCCAGTTTTCCACATGAGATTGTTGGGTGCCTATACAAGAGCAGGGAGGCTGCTCCGACACACTGTAATTACAGCACATCAGAGCAGACTCAATTAATCAGTCTGCTGGAGCATGGTAATGACCATGATCCAGCAGCCTCCAGTGTCTTGTGTATCAGCATCCCTGCACTTCAAAATGGTGGCGGGGTGCTTTAACTGAAGCTCCTTTGACGAGATTTTGATAATGTGCCATTTTGAAACACAGGGATGCTGATACATGATGTACTCTGGGTGCTTTAATTAGAGTGGCTCTGGGAGTCGCTCTAATTAAAGCCCTCCCCAGAGCACGTGTATAAACACCCTTAGAGTGTAAAAAAATTATCTTTGTTTTGCCTGAAATGTCCCAGTTTTTCATTTCATTAGTCAAAATGTTGGGTTACTGTTTTTTCAATTAGCAATTTTTTTCCCCAGGATGTATTACCCTACCATATAGCATTTACCCTGCTTTTACTAGGAGCAACCAGTCTTGTGGAGCAAAGTGTTTACTGTAATGGAGGATTTGGAGTGAAGAGAATGGTCATATAGTAGACAGCATCAAAGCTCTTCATTTTGCTCTAATTGAGTTAACAATGCTAATTTGGTGCTTAATGACAAATTCATTCAGAATGCCAAATTACTGGAAAAAATCCAACATTTTGGGAAATAAGGCTCAGTCACTGCTGAGTAAAAATCTCGTAATAGTGACACAAGCATCAGTTTACTTTTGTCTGGTTATTTCATAAACTTAAAAAATATTGCCATGAAAGTACTGTGGACTCCATTTTTGTGTATGTGGTCACTCTCAGGCTGTGGTAATGGAAAAGGTCAAAATGGAGGGAGGGTTTCTGAAACTAGTATGTATCCTTTAGGTAATGGCAACACAGAATTTTCTCTGTTCTTTCATTGCCCTCTCAGTGGGGAGGGTTTTATCCTCTGTGCTCATTCAATCCTGGGTTTCCTGCACAGTTCCCCATTGTTAGAGCCCCCCCTGGTAGTACCCCTTTCATAGCACGAAAGGAATTCAGACTCATGGCTTGATAAATAAATCAGTCAGATGAATTGCCATCCACAAGTAAAGATCCTGGTACAGGCTGGTGTGCCATCTCAGCAACTTCCTCAGCACTCCTGAGTGCCAAGACTCCTCCTGGATGTTATACATGGCAAGATGGGCAGTCAATGTGAAAACCGACAGTTTGCTGGCTGAGGAGGCAATAAATTGTGTGTGTCTTCAGGAGCAGACTGTGGTCCACAGGGGCTATAATTTTTACTTCCTGACATAAGAAAAACGTCTCAGTTTATGCAGAACTAATTAAAAAGCTCTCAGGTCTTGCCATTTCACCCACAGAGCAACTATAAAGCAATGTATAGATAACCCAGTACGTACACCTGGCTTCTGGGAATACTCATGCTTCTCCTTCCTCTTCTCAGTCCCTCACCCTTCTTTTCAGTCTTTCTTCCCCTTCTGTCTCTCTTTTCCCATCTCTCTCTGTTTTTCCCTTTAAGCTCTTCAGGCTTGATTCAGCTCTGCTAGCAAAGGTAAATGCTGAGAAAGGACTTCCCTCCGGTCTCCACCTAAGCATTCCAATATCACTGTGCTTGAGGGCTGATCTTACCAGCTGGGCCCCAAGGGGATGTGTGTTTTGCAGTGGTGCACTCTGCTCTGGCCAGACTTTGCATTGCTACAGACCCACTGTTCTGGCTCCTGCTTTGTAGCCTATGGCTAAATTCAACCTGCTTCTAATTTGGAGAAGGATTCTCAATTAGGAATGTGAATACCAGAGCTCTTCCAATCTCTTTCAGAGAATGTGTGTATGTGTGCGCGCGTGTGTGCCTATGCAAGATAAATTTCAGCCAGGAAGATATGGGTCTTTAGGGGACTTTACAGTTTTTCCAGCTCAGCCTCCTCCAGCAGAGACTGTTGCCGGGAAGTCTGTAGGCGTAATGGCTATTTCGGAATGAAAAGCATCTCCACATCAGACTCACAGAGGAGGAATCACCATAGGTAGAGGAACTGTGGCACGAGGAGTTGGCGGGGGGGAAGTGTTATAGTTCCTCCAGTCCCTGCCTTTCCCAGCAGGAGTCACTCCTCACAGAAATGCTGGAACAGCTCTGCCTTACTGTGTGGTGAGACTGATTGACTGTGTGCTAGAGGGGTTATCTTTTATTAGACCAACTGGTAAATCTAATAAAAGATATTGCCTCTAGCACTCTGACTACTTGTACTTTTGGACCAACACAGCTACAACCTTTACCCCTGACTGACATTTCTCTGCTGTTATATACCCACAGGGCTCCGATTCACCTTAATGCATATTTGCTCCATCCTTCTCAATATTTTGGCTTCACCTCTTACCTTCCTTCCAGAGTAGCCTTGAATTCCTGTGTCTCCCTGCAAAAGTTAAAAGAAGTTAGTGAATCTAAATTGCAAAAGAGGAAGAAAGGAAGGAGAGAAGGAAGATAAAACTGCCATTTCCCCTGTGGTGCTGTAGGAAGAATAAAAGAGCAGTGGAGGAAAGGAAAGGGAATTCATTTCTGTTCCATCCCAAAGCATTTAAATCCTTGGGAGCTTTGGGAACAGGGCTCTTAAGTCTTCTTCACAGGGATGAGTTTTACCCTGACTGAATTAAAACGTAACAAGGAAGATGTACCTGTAAACAGAATATTTGGTTTTGCTTTCAAGTTATGTTAATCTAGCATCATTTTTCTTAATCTTAGACCTTTGTGTAGTGTTGCATGTAAAAGCAAGTGGGAAATTTTTGTAGGTAAAAAAAGAAAAATCCAAAATTACAAACACCTCATATCTTGCCAGTGAGCTTTCATGCATCTGGCAGGTAGCAGGAGAAATTTGGCAAAATAAACAACATTGTTACTTAAATAATGCCTAGAACAATGGTAAATGTGCTAGGTGTGATAAATACCAACAAAGCCAAGCATTGTATGACATTTTGTTGAATTGCCTGACAATTAACTCCATGCGGAGACAAACCTCCATTAAAATTCATGTTTCAGGAGACTGGGATCCGGCACATAGTGAGATGCTGCAGTTTGATTATAAACTATTTTTCTGAACTATTAGAGAGCAGATCCCCACCCTCCACAAACTGCTCATGCCCAGCAAAGTTTAGAGAGCCCATCTTTTTTGCTCATTCCAATTCTTTGCTTTGCTTTCTACTGATGATAAAAATGTTCTTACCTTTGGTCCAGGGGGTCCAGGTATGCCCTGTAGGTAAATTAAAAGCATACTGTGAGATACAGAAAACAAAATGAAATAAAATACAAATTTTCAGAGAATTTGGGGGCATTTTTTTTCTATTGGAATATTACTTCCTAATTTAGTTTTAAGAACTTCATCCTCTGAGAATGTCACTTTGCAAAAATTACTTTTGTTGAGTAGATGCACTCTAAAAGTTACAAGTTTTAATAAATACCAGCTGATCCTCCCACCCAAGCCACCTCCCACATATTGTTCAAACCACTAGGCTTGGTCTCGCTAAATTTGTCCTGTTTGTCACAGTTCCAGAATCTGATGATCTGATTAATTTTTTTAATCTGTTATAAGCAGGGAGCCTTGTTCTCAACTCACTGCCTACCTCACTGCAAAGATATTTAAGTCAGGAGTTAGTAGAAGAGTGGTAGTTCATTCCTTATCCACAAAGGTGACCTCAAGGGAATTGAGAGAGGAAAGGAGAATATTATATGAACTATCTGTCTTTTCAGAGCACACTGTGGAGGAACAGAAAGACCCTTTTCTCATAGCAGAATATGTCACTATCAGATTTCAAATGGAGCTTCCCTTTTCTTCATTAAAAAGGAAGATACCTGGGTGGCATGCTACATCTGTAAAAGTGCTCTTCAGGGGCAGTAAGCTAGACTTTTATTGAACCTGGCTTTCTTTGACAAAAGATAGGGTACATTTGCACCTTATAGGCCGTGTCTATCTGAGACACTGACTACAGTGTCATTACTGAGCAGTCATTTAGTACTTGTTTATACAAGTACTAAATGACTGTGCAGTAGCGCCACTGAACGGCAGTAGCATTGCGTCATGCTTTCTGCCACATAATGCTACCATGCAGTAACCACAGGCACAGTCAGGAAGGACTGCTCTGATATTCACATCTGTAGCTGGCCAGTATCTGCAATCTGTCCCTGAGGTCTCTTCCAATCCCAGTGCTCTGGGGGAGGGACGGCAGCCTGCTGTCATCCTGTGTGCACATCTGGGGGCCCGCACCCCCCGGAAGGAGTCTGGCACAGCCCATGTGCAGATCCCACATGCAGATCTGGGGGCTCATGCCCCCTAGGAGGAGTCTGGCACAGCCCCACAGCCCTCTCAGGGGGCACAGGCCCCCAGATCTGTGTGCGGGATGACAGCATGCTGCCACTGCTGGCTGGGGCCAGTGCCAGCACCCAAGTCTGCTCAGCGCAACCCTCAAGGAGCACTGGAAAGAACCCAGTGCTGGCACTGGCCTCAGCTGGCAGTGGCAGGCTGCTGTCATCCTGCACGCATATCTGGGGTCCTGTGCCCCCTGGGAGGAGTCTGGCACAGCCCCGCAGCCCCCACAGGGGGTGCAGGCCCCTGGATCTACATGCAGAATGACAGCATGCTGCTGCTGCCAGCAAATGATGTGAGTTTTGCTTTCAACAATTTGAGGTGCAGTTTTACAGAAACCCCTGCACCTATCTCCTTGAAAGCTGGCAGGCTTCATGCCCTCAGATGGGGCTGCCATCCCTGCAATTTTCATCCAAATCAGGCAAGAAATGACAACGTTATAGGCATTTTAGTGATTCTCCATTGTAGAATATGGCCAAATCACTGAAGCAGCGTTGAAACTCTGAAACAGATTTGGCCAAATCGAAATGGAACAGCAATCCAAAACACTGAAACAAATCACTGTCCCTTCAAAATGGCCAAATCTGAAACCAAATCAAAACATAGCCGTTTTGCATAGCCCTACTGTTGGCACTCTCTATGCTGTATCTATCCTTCTCTGTATAGAAAGCTTCACTCTACAGTGCCATCAGTCACTTTTACCATGAGGAAATATTCTGAAAAATACCTCTTCACCAGCTGAATATAAAAGGTTGGGCCCACCCTGAGAGACCTGGGCTAAGGAGACCATAGGTAAATGGAACAAACAGAAACATAGACATGAATGGCTTAACATTTTTCACTATTTATCCATATCCCTTAAAAATGAAGCCCAATATTTCATTCGGCTTGCAGCCATGCTCCAGGTCCTCAAGCATCACAGAGTTGGCATTCATCATGCAATAAATGCTGCATACACAAAGGAGACAAGCAGAGCAACTCTACTGTACCTACCTTCCCATCCTTGCCAGGCTTCCCAGGCTCCCCTGCTCTGCCCTGTTGCAAGAAGGAAAGGCACATTAATGAGACTCCTGAGGGCCCCTTATTTAATTGTTTGACTGATTGATCTCAGCCTCCTAGGTTTCAGGCTGTCAGGCTTGGAATAGAGCTAACAGAACATCAAAGAGATTTCAAGGGCTTTTTTTAGTCAGGTTTCTGCTGGGAGCGGGATAATTACACTTGGGGTGTTACTTCCTCCCCATGGCATTCTTCAGACTGGAAAGGAGGAAATGGCACTCGTGTCACCCTCTCACACATGTGTGCGCAGATAGTGATAGCAGAGGATGTACAACTGCTCCCTTCCTCCCATCCTGCTTGGGAACGCTCTT